GAAGGGCTTGGACTCCTTTCCTGATAGCTTTGGTGTGGGGAGCTGTTTTCCCATAAGGGCAAGACTTTGAGCTCTGTTGGGGCTGGCAAGGGATGGTGTGGTGGGGGATGAGATACAAATGGCTAGTTCATTGTTGGAACACAGGGTGGACAAGTTGGCATATGTGATGGAGAAGGCATGACATGGGGTGGGGAGTGAGATGCAGATGACTCATTCACGGTTGAGATACAGTGAACAAGTTGGCCTATGTGATGGAGGGTATGATATGGGTGCGGGTGGGACACAGATGACTCCTTAACTATTGGGGCACAGGGTGGAGAAACTGGCATATGTGATGGAGGGGATATGACACGGGCAGGGGTGGGACACAGATGATTCATTCACTGTTGAAACAAGGGGTAGACAGGCATATGTGATGAAGAGGGCATGATGTGGGTGGGGGTGGGACGCAGGCGTCTCCACTGTTGGGATACAGGGTAGACAAGTTGACATATGTGATGGAGGAGGGTATGATATGGGTGGGAGAGGGATGCAGATGACTCATTCACTGTTGTGACACAGGTCAGAAAAGTAGGCATATATGATAAGAAGATGGATTCAATTCAGAATAAGGGTGCAGTGTATCTTATCATCACAGTAGAACTGTTCACAGTGGACAGTCTGCCCTGTGATGTGATGAGTTTTCCAGGAGGGAAGGCTCCAGGCAGGGGCAGAACCACTTCTTGAGGTGCTGCTGGGAGGCCCTTCCTGGGAAGGAGGAGGCAACTTGAATTCTTTCTTCCCTGTTTCACTTGCTGTTCTTACCCTCATCATATCCTAGCCCATATCATTTCTTACCCCATGTTATACCCTATACTATATCCCACGTCATGCTCTGCCCCATGTCATACCCTATTCCGAGTAATATCCCACCTCATGTCATACCCGACCCATGTCATACCCTATCCCAAGTCCTATCCCACCCTATGTCATACACTATTCCATGTCCCATGTCATATCCTACCCATGTCATACCCTACCCCATGTCATATCCCATCCCAAGTCATACCCTATACCAGGAATATCCAACATTTTGACTTCCCTGGGTCAACATTAAGTAACATTTTGACTTTACTCTGGGCCAAATGGAGTAAACAATTATCTTGGGCTGCACATACATTATATAACATAGTAAGTTATATAGATAATAAGACTTCTTTTCCATATTTTTATTATAAAGTTTAGAAAAATGAGAATATAAAACTAGTGGGAAATTTGACCTTGTTTTTGTAAAACTCATCTATCAATGTCTGGTTCGATGGAAGTGGCTGCAATTCTTAGTGAGTTCTCAAGGTACTTGTCAGAAATGTTTGTTTGAATTTTGCTCTTCATGTGCTTCATAATTGAAAACAACTGCTCACAAATGTATGTGCTGCCAAAAAGCGAAATCATGAATAAGGCATGTTGTGAACTTCAAAAATGGAATTAGGCATGGGATCATGAAGAAAATAAACGCTAAAAAACACATGATGTTAAAAGATTTTGTGGGGCCAAATGACTGACTGTCCTGGTCTACATGTGGCCTGTGAGCTGTGGGTCAGCCATGCCTACCTTACACCATGTAAATTCTACTTCATGTCATATCTTACCCAATGTCATATCCTATCCATGTCATAACATAACCTGTGTCATTACCTACCTCATGTCATATCTTACCCCATGTCATACCCTATTCCATGTCATATCCTACCCCATGTCATACTCTACCTCATGTCATATTTTACCCTGTGTCATACCCTACCCATGTCATGTGGTAACCTGTGCCATATCTTACCTCATGTCATATCCTACCCATGTCATACCCTACCCATGTCATATCATAACCCATGTCATTTCCTACCCCATGTCATATCCTATCCGTGTCATGTCTTGCACTGTGTCATATTTTACTCCATGTTATATTCTAACCCATGTTATACCCTACCCTACCTCATGTCATATCCTATAAATCATACCCTACATGTCATATCCTATCCCATGTCATATCCTACCCAGTGTCATACCTTACCTTGTGTCATATTCTACCCTGTGTCATGTCCTACCCCTTGTCATACTCTACCCTGAGTCATACCCTATGCTGTGTCATATTCTACCCTGTGTCATACCTTATGCCATGTCATACTGACCCCATGTCTTATCCTACCTGTGTCACGGGTAGGGTTGACATGGGTGTCATAACCTACCCATGTCATACCTTATCCTGTGTCATAACTTACCCCATACCATACCCTACCTGTGTCATACCTTACCCTGTTATACCCGTGTCATATCCTACCCTGTGTCATTCCCTATGCTGTGTCATACTAAGTCTATGTGTAATACCATTTCCTCTGTCACACCATGCCTATGTAATGCCTTACCTGTGTCAACCCTACCCGTGTCATATTCTACCCTGTCATAACCTACTCAATGTCATACCCTACCCCACATCATACCCTATACTGTGTCCTACCTACCCTATGTCAAATCCTATCTCTCATCATATCCGACCCTGTGTCACACCTTACCCATGCCATACCCTATGCCATGTAATGCCCTGCCTTTGTCATACCCTACCCATGTCATATCCTTCCCCATGTAATACCTATGCTGTATCATGCCCATTCTTGTCATACCCTATGCCATGTCACACTCTACCCTGCATCATAGCCTATGTGTCATAACCTACCCCATGTCATACCCTACCTTGTGTCATATCCTACCCCGCATCATACCCTACCCATGTCACACCTGATCCTGGGTCAAACCATACCCCATGTCATACCCTACCCCACATCATATCCTACATGTCATACCCTGAACCCTGTCATACCCTACATGTCATGCCCTACCTGTGTCTTCTTACCCTACCCCGTGTCAAAAGGTACTCCGTATCATACCCTATGTCATGCCATACCCTACCTGTGTCATACCCTACTCTGTGTCATACCTACACCATGTCATACCTACACCATATCACACCCTACCCATGCCATACTCTACCCCATGTCATACTCTATGCTGTGTCATATCCTACTCATGCCATACCCAACTTTATTTTATACTGTATCCTGTATCATATTCTATCCCTTGGCATAACCTATCCCATGTCTACCCAACCCCTTGTCATATTCTGCCCTATGTCATAACCCACCCCCATTATATCCTACCCCAAGTCATATCCTACCCCCGTCATACCCTATCCCATGTCATACGATACTCCATGTCATATCCTACCGTGTCATATCCTATCCCTGTCATATTCTTCCCCATGTCATGTCCTGCCCAGTGTCATACTCTACCCTGTGTCATAGCCTACTCCATGTCATACTCTACCCCTTGTCATACCCTACCCCATGACATACCCTACCCCATACCATATCCTACCCCTTGTCATATCCTACCCCATCTATCTACCCACTGACCCATCATCCATCCATCCATTCACCATCCATCCATCTATCCATCCACTATTCACCATCCATCCTTCATCCATCCCCCATCCATTCATGCATCTAGCCACCATCCATCAATCAATCCATTCAGCCATCTATCTATTTACCATCCACCTACCATCTATCCATCCACCATCCATCCATCCATCCGTCCACCATCCATCCATCCATTCACCATCCATCCATCTATCCATCCATCTATTCATCCATCCATCACCTTCCATCCATCTATTCTCCACCATCCACCATCCATCCTCCATTCATCCCACATCCATTCATCCATCTATCCACCATCCATCAATCGATCCATCCATCTATCTATTCACCATCCATCCACCATCCACCATCCATTCTCCATCCACCATCCATCTGTCCTCTATCCACTATCCATCCATCCATCCATCATCCATTCATTATCCATCCACCATCTGTCTACTCACCATCCATCCATCCACTATCCAACCATCCTTCCACATACCATCCACCATCCATCTACCACCCGTTCATCCACCATTAATCTATCCAGTGAATATTTAGTCTGACTCTGCTGTGTGTTGAATGCAGCTCTGGCTCTGGGGCTCTGTCAAGGATAAGATGAACAGTTCCTTCCTCATAGGCCTCCCTACACCAGGCTGGCTGGCTTGCTGGTTGATCCTGGGGGAGCCAGACCATCTTTTGGGCTGTGGACAGCCCAGCCAGTTCTGAGCACCCACCCTCTCCACTGCTGGCCTTCCCTTTCCTCTGGGAATAGACTGTGGTTGGGTGTGGAGGACCTGAGTTTGTCCATGGCCTTTGGCCACCATCATGTGCCATAGGAGCCACAGAGGTGTTGTCTGATGGAGACAGAGGTCCTGGTGGGCTGCTTGGTATGGTTGCTGCAGGCAGAGTTCTAGGCCTCTGGTGCTGGAGATACTGCAGACATCCGGTCCAAGTGGTGCATGGGCCCCACCCTAGCCTCCTGTCTGCTTTCTCCTGAGAGACTTGGGCAGTGGTAGGGACACGCATGTATGCTGGTGCCCATAGGTGACTCCCCCCTCAGTGGGAGGGGTGTGGTGAGCAGGTTACAGTTTGGCCCTGTGTCCTGTGCTGTCTCATGGTCAGGCAGCCAAGGCTGCTGTGGCACAGGTGACAGCTTCTGCAGCTCCACCTTGAGGGGAACCTGCTTGCCTGAGTCCTGATGAAGGGGCAGTGAGGAAACCCCCACCCTGGAAGTGTTGTTGGTCATATAGATGGCTTCTCTGGGGTGGCAGGTTCTACGAGGGCCCCTTGGCCAGGAGAACAGAAGGTCTTGGTAAAGGTGGTGGTGGCCTGGTTGGCATGGGCTTGCTGAACAGTGCAGTGGGGCAGCTGGGCGATAGCCCCAGGGCAGAGGATCCTGACTCAGTTCATCCCTCCCTGAGCCCATTGCAGGACCTCACCAAGTCACATCACCCTGGCTTCTGTTTCCTTTTGTGGAAGGTGGGTTGATGGGTTATTCTGAGGCCCTTCTCCACCTGGGCCTTCATATCTTGCTGTCTCTGTCTCCAGGCCTTGCCCCAGGACAACTCTACACATACCCTGCCCGCTGCTGGCGCAAGAAGAGGCGACTGCACCCACCTGAGGACCCAAAGCTACGGCTGCTGGAGATAAAGCCTGGTCAGTGCCCAAAACTCGGTGGGGGTGGGGAGGTGGGAATGGAGGGGTGGTGTCAGGGCCCAGGGTGGCTCGTTCTCTGGGAGAGAAGCTTGCCCTGTGGTGCCTGGGCCTGCCTCTGTGTCTGCCTTCTCCTGGCTCTCCTCCCCATGGGGCTCTCCTGTCCCCTTCCTCTTATCTTCTCTCCTGCCATCCACAGGAATCAGACAGCAGCAGGGACAGGGTGGGCCTGGGCCGGGTCAGGACTGGGTTCAGGCAACTCACTGTCCCTATTGGATTGAAGGAAGCATGGCTCCCTTCCTTGTGGCCTCACATGAACACACCTTGGCCCAGGGGGTATGTTTCTAAGGAAAAGGGGGTACCCTGGGCACCTTCTCCTCACCTTGTATATACCTCTCCTCACTCTGTGTACACCCTCTCTGTACCCCGTGTATACCCTCTCCTCACCCCATGGAGACCTCTGGGGCCTCTCACATGGAGGAGGCCAGTTTGCTGAGAATTGCACTCACCTTGGAAGTGGAAATGGAAGGTTTGAGCTCAAACCCACCCTGGGAGCTGTGATTGCCTGTAGCCCTGCAGCAGAATTGGGTCTGTCTTGTGGGTCTGTCCTTCTACTTCCAACTCTGTGGCATCTCCAGACCTGAGTCTGGCTGCAGTAAGGCCAAGCAATTGCCCAGGGTTCCTGGCTTTAGGGGTGACTGTGTTTTGAGGGTGCTGGACCAGGACTCAGTGTGGGGGGAATGATCTGTCCAGGGGTACAGACAGAGCCGACCTGCTCCTGCCTGTCATATTGTGTTGCCCACCTGAAGCTGGCCACCTCCTGTCACCCCCACCTGACTGCCACGCTGGCCCTGCTGCTGTCGGGGCTTTTGCTGTGGGCCTGGGAGCCCTGCTGTGGCTTGCTTGTGTGGTGGCTGGGTCTGTCAGGGGAGAGAGGGGCTCAATTCTGCAACGTTCCCATGTAGTTCAGATGCTTGCAGACAGGAGTGGTAGAGCCTGTCCCAACCCCACATGGGTTGTGGAGATCCCGTCACCTACAGCAGCGTGACCCAGTGGCACACAGTGCAGGCCATGTGTCACTTCACACTGCCGGCCATGTGTCACTTCACACTGCCATGTGATCATAAAATGAAAGGGGAAATGAAGCCAGGAAGTGAGTTTTAATAACATATTCCACTTAGCCCCTTCTGCATGTCATCTCCATAAAAATTATGATGAGATCATAACTTTCTTTTTTGGACTGTGTTTGAGTTCCAGTGTGTCCTTACATGTCTCATGTCTCACTCTGGACTGGCTGCATTTTAAGTGCATGGTAGCCATGGGGTGCTGGTTGACCCATGCGTTGCCATGTTGGCTCATGCATTGCCATGTTGCCCCATGAATTGCTGTGTTGGTCTGTGTGGTGTTGTTTGGCCCATGCATTGCTATGTCGCCCATGCATTGCTGTTTTGGCCCATGTGGTGCTGTGTTGGCCTGTGTGGTGCTGTGTTGGTCCATGCATTTTGACCCATGCATTGCTGTGTTAGTCCATGAGGTGCTATGTGGCCCATGCAGTGCCGTGTTGGCCTGTGTGACTCTAACATGATCCGTGGGGTGGGGTCCTGGCCAGGGCAGCAGCAGGTGGAGCTGTTGGACATGCAGAATCCTGGCCCTACCCAGACCAGCTGCAGCTCCTGGAGCATGCCCTCGGGCATGCCTGGTTGCAAGGAACTCTGGTCTTGAGATGCATAGGCCACTGGACATGAGTTATGCTGTGAGGTTCAAATGAGCCATGTGTGGTCTTTAAACATTTTTTCCTACTTATTTGTTTTTGAGTGGGCAATACAGCCATGTCTCGACATTCAAAAGATAAAAATATTGTGTTGTGTGGTGATGGCTGAGGCTGGCCTCCTGGGAGGTTGTCTGTAGCATCAGGTTTTGAGATCCCTCGAGGATCCTGTGCCTGGCAGGAGTCACAACCCTCTGATTTTCCTCCTCTTCACAGAACAGCCTCCTTAGATGTGCCCTTTTTACTTAAAACATGCCTGAGATATTGGCATATCAAAGTATGAAGGTTTTTCATGTGTCTTTTTATAAATACATAGTGTTCCATTGTGTGGATATACCACAGTTTATTCACCCAGCGGGTCCCAAGTTTTGTTTTTGATTTTTCCAATTTAGCCAGTGATGCAGTGAGTATTTTGCATGTATTTTAGGATGGCTCATATATAATTTGTCAGTTAAACATTTTTTAATAAACACTTTACACTAATTTTAAGCTATTAGTCTTTATTCTTAACATTTATATAAAGAGCCTTTATTAAGAACATTTTATATCAGATTGACTAGATCTTGTTTCATAGAATTAAAGGCACTTGGCACTGTAAAATACCTGAGATATCATTAGCTCCAATTATTTATTTTACTGAGGTTCAGACAGGCTAAGAACCTTGCTCAAAGCCACACAGCAATTCCTGGATGTCCTGCAGAGAATCTGGGTTGCCTGATCTCCTGTCCAATGTCTTTTCTGCTTCTTCCTGCTGCTTGTGGATATACTAACTTAAAGAGCCTTTAACAAGGCCTTTCCTCTTAATATTTTTATTTCATGATAATAAACTGATATGTATTAATCATTAAAATTCACCAAGAGATAGTTGTTGGAATTCCTTCAGTCATAAAGTGTAGGAGCTCGAATCAAACTAGCCTAAGCAGAAAGGGGAAGTTGGTTCCTGTAATAGTGAATCCCAGGGTTTAGCTGCCTTCAGGCACAGCTGCATCCAGGTGCTCAAGCATCGAAGAGAGGGCTCTATGCCTTTGTCTTTCAAGTTGTCTTCCCCTTGCAGGGCAAGTTAGGGGGATGCCAGTCAATCCAGGCTCAGTGTGTACCAGTAGAAAGGAAGCACCTTTGACAGTGGTGGCAGAGAGGTCCCCAGAGGGGCTGGGTTGACTACCCCCCTCCGGTTAGTTCCTCTCAATGGTGGTGGCAGAGAGGTCTACCCACCTGCTTGTCCCCACCCATGAGGAATTTGCAGCAAGTTCTCCAGAAATGCTGGCCAATGACTCTGCCCTGAGTCACACTCAAAGTGTCAACCAGACAGTTGAGGGCTCCTCGAACTCAAATCAGCAGAATAAAACAAGAGGTGGTCATTTAACAGTTACTGTCCAAGTCTACTCTGGCCTGGGGGTGTCCACGTACCAGGAGGTGCTTGGTGGAAACTACTCTGGGAATGGAAAGGGCCGGGTCTCTGGAAAGTGGCAACGGTACCTGCACAGGACCCCTCAAGGGTTCCAAAGGGCAGGACCAGCTTGAGCTCCACCACCCCATGGGAGAGGCAGCATTGTAAACGTCCCCCACCAAGGGGTGCCTTCTCCTCCTCTGACCTGCCACGTGGGCTGGTGGAGGTCTGGACACAGGCAGCTCCCGACATTTAGGCTTGTGTGAAAAATTCAGCACAAACCCATGCCACCTGCAGAGGAGAGGGAGGAGGGGAGGAGGTGGAGGAGAGACAGGAAGGGCTGTGTTCCTGGGGCCGCTCTGAGGCAGCAGCTGAGTGTGGGTGCCGTGGCGCCAGGGCCTCGCCGGGCACCATCACTCAGATCCTACAGCTATGGGTGGGAGGGCACATCCTGAGGGTGTTGGAGCAGAACAGATTCCGGTGTGGCATGTGGCCAGAGAGCCTGGGCTTCTGCCGGTGTCTGTTCTGTCAGCAGGCCTCGTGGTCAGTGCAGGGCCCATGCTAGTGTCTGTGTTGTCGGTAGGCCTCGTGGTTGGTGGATCACCCAGGAGGCACCCTCACTCCTCTGGGAAGGAGTACTGTCCCGCGAGTCACTGTCCTGGCCCCATGGAGGACGTTTCTCGGCACTGGGTACTGGTGGGGAGGAATGAGCTCACCAGAGGGCCCATCTCACACAGCCCTACAGAGGGCTCTCCTTGGCTCTTCAGAGGGTCCCTGACCAGGGATGCAGACCATCCACTGGTGGCCTCTACCACCTGGACCTGGCAAGAACCTCTGTGCCTCATGCTTGGGGCAGAGGCTGAGGGGCCTCCGAGTGATTGGACACAGACATTGTGCTGCTGGGATGTGGCCGCTAGCCCTGGGCTCCACCTCCTCCTCCTCTGGCCCAGCGGGCCTGACAGCAGGGCAGGGCCAAAGCCAACCTGAACCCGGTACAGCTGCCTGGGCATGGGCGCTGAGGTTGGTGTCAAGTTGGTTGCTGCCTGCAGCGGAAGGAACGAACACTCGAGAGTTCACTTCCTGCCTGGTCCCACCACACAGATGCTGCCCTCAGACACACACACAGACACCCTGGGCTTTGTCCACAGCTGACCCCACCTTGGACACAGTCTGGGCATACCCTCCCAGGGCTGCATTGGGACTGAGCTCATGACAGGAACAAAAATGTGAGGAGGGGCTTTGTAAGCATTAGCGTGCTGTCCAGATGCAGGTTATGATGATGATAAGCCTAACAGAGTATCCCATGGCCTGGGTGGCAGTGACCCATCACACCCTGGCCTTGGAAGCAGGCCATCCTGTGCTGAAACTCTTTAAATGAGTGGAAACCAGGAGACTGAGTTTTGTTGAAGGGAACCTGCCACCTGCCTGCTGGGCCCTGTCCAAGGATGCCCATGCTTCCTCTCCCCCTCCTATCCTACGTGGGCTCCTTGAGCCCCCGATGTGCTCCAGGAATCTAGCTATATCCAGGACCCTTGGAGCTTGAGTTTCACACCAGAACACTGACATGTCTTCATGTCCTAGGAAGGGGCTGCTGGCCTGGAATAGAACTCTCCCCAGACACGCGTTCCTTCCACATTGTCCTCTCCCATGGACAGTGAGGAGATGTCACACACAGTCTGTCATGTCGACACCCAGCTTGTCCTCTGACTTCCTTTGTGTCCCTGTGTCCAGCAGGGACAGGCTGCTTTCCACAACCAAGGCCAGGATGTGATGGGTTCAAGTCCCAGGTCCCAGGTCTGCCGAGTTGTCAGGGAACCAGGTCTGGGAATCCTGAGGGCTCTTGAGGGA